GCGAACCATCTAAAGCCCGCATTCGGGGACAAGTGAACCATCATCATTTTTTGTGAACATCTCCCAAGCGAAGAAGATTCACGGCGCAAGGTTCTTGATGCACAGAGACTTGTAATCTAATTAGACAAATTTTTCCTCAAGCATTAAAAATTGTTGGTCGTTGTCATCTCTCAAAGCGAATAAGTCAGCGATTACATCATATATCGACTTTCCTCAAGCATGGAAAGTATCTCAACCGGTGGGTTTCTTCAAGTATAGAAAACTGCCAAAATAATCTGTCGAATTTCCTCAAGCATGGAAAGTATTATTGGTGGGATTCTTCAAGCATAGAAAACCGCAAAATTCATATGTTGACTTTCCTCAAGCATGAAAAGTATAATCCTGTAGATTTCTTCAAGCATAGAAAGCTACCAAAGTCATCTATCGGCTTTCCTCAAGGAGGAAAACATTTCAACAAGCGTCATCCGGTGGATTCCTTCAAAAATAGGAAGCTGCCAAATTCGTTTGTCACTGATACACTGGTGTCAGATAAGCATTATATCCCTTTACTCTTTTATCTGTAGAAGTAACATTTTTTTACAGGTATTGTCATCTTAAATCATTCGCCATCCCTATCAACTACTTTGACTATCGTTTTAAAAACTAACGTTTCTACAAACTCAGTCAAAGCGGGGGCTTCTGTAAACACTTCAAAATGTCTCCCCAAAACCAAACCCGATGATGAACTACCTTTCACCGCCATTATTGGTCGGGTTGAGTATTTAATCTAGTAATGCCTAAATCCATATTTCCATTCAATAAACCAATCAAATTCCTAGCCCATTTCCCCAAACTATAACTTATTTTCCTCTTTTCGTGCCTTTAAACCCAAAATAATTCATTTCGTGTCCTTTAAAATCATTCATTTCGTGTTTTTGTTATAAAAACGTTTATACCTGTTTATTTTGATCCATAATATGAGTCCAATGATTGAATAGTTGGATGGGGATTGAAAATAGCATTCCAACGATATATTATAAGCTCAAATTCAAGTTATAACGTATAATTTATATGGCCAAAATACTAAAGTGAGTCTAAACCGAACATAAGCCCACCTTAGCTACGACTCAATGATCATGTGGAGGGTCCAAATGATTTAATCACATTTATAAACCAATTAGGATTAATTGGAAGCTTCTATATGTTTCTAAAAGATCTTAGTTATTATTTTTAAAAGATAAGATTAAAGATTTTGAAATTGAATAAAACTTTTCTTTTTGAAAGTCCTATTTCTATCCGAATTGAAAGACGTTCAAAGATAGTCAGATATGATTTTTTTTTCCTCATTAATTTTATCCAAATTTTAAATGGTTGTATAGCCCTTGAAATTATCTTTCCAATGATACATTATAATATCAATTCCAAGCTATAACGAAAAAGATATATATGAATGAAATATCAAACTCTATCCAAAACTGACACCGTCCCACTATTTCGACCATATCTTTTATTCTACAAAGTATTTTAATCTTATTTTAATTGAGTTAGAAATTAGACTTCAACATATTTCCAAAGACATATTATTTATCTTATTTCAATTTTTGGATCAAAAGATATGATAAAAAAAAACCCGCAAAAGCTGGTGTCTATCACAAGAGTATTATTCCAATTCGAATTCTTATCTTTTCTTAATCCTTCGACCCTTATTTTTCCTTATAAATAGAGGTCATATCTCCCCCCTTTTTTAATGATCAACAAGATTGATCATCAAATAATTCTCTTCTCCCTCTTTAGCCCAAATACTAGCCATCCTATTCTCTCAAAATATTTCCCTTAAGCACTCCAAGGAGTTCATACTTAACCAGAGGTTCCGTCCTTAAACCAAGGCTTGAAAGGTATAATTAACTGAGGGTTTGGACCAAATCAAATCTACTTTTAATTTAATTGCTTTAATTTGATTTATATTTTTATTGAAGTTACCAACAATTTATTCATGATGTAGCAATTCAAGGAAACACGGAACACTAGTACAAAAAAACATAAAGGCAACCCCCAAAAGCCACTTGTTCAGTCCAAACCGGTGGCAAAAACCGGCTAAAAATTAGAGGGAATTTTAGACCAGGCACATTGGCATCGATTCAGTGCAAACCGGTGCCAAAAATTTAAAGGTGCCACTGAACCGGTGCCTTATTCAAAAAAAAAAACCAAGTTTCCCTCTTTCTTCTTCCTTCTCTTTCTCTTTCATTCATTTCGGCTGATTGCTTCCTTCTCTCTTCAATGTTGCATTCCCAAAACCCCTCACCTGCAAAACTCCTCACCTCACCTACACCGCCGTCTCCCCTGCCCTTCTCTTTCTCCCTTGTCGTTCTCTTTCTCCCCTCAACCCCCTCCACCTCATCTCTTCGTTTCCCTCTTCATTCTAGGGTTGTAAACGCTGCGCCACTACCCTGAAGTTCGCCACCGACCACGAATGCTACTTCATCTCTCCTTCCCTTCAAGCTATATTAGAAACCTAGGTATTAAATTAGTTGAATTTTGGAATGTTTAAATGGTTAATTTTAAGTTGCTTTGATGGGTATCTTTGATTAAATTACAGATTAGTAACCTTGTTACTAAATTAGTTTAATTTTGGAATGTTTTAATGGTTAATTTTAAGTTGTTTTGAATGGGTAATTTTGAATAAATTAGAGATAACTAACCTTGTTAGTTTAGCAATTTTGAATAAATTAGCTGAATTTTGAACAAAGTAGTGAATACATAGTTTACCAATTGTTCGTTCGATGAATGATGTGTTTTAGCGTAGAAATAAATTAGTGAATTGACATGTTATGAGAAAGAAATAGTACATACATAATATTTAACCTAATTTTTGTTTTTTTTTTATAGAATCATATGTGAATTGAAGCATGAGTTTAGGTTAAGGACTACATATTGAGCTCAAGTGGGTAGTTGCTATATTGGTATGACTAATAAACTTTACTAAGCTATATTACTTTCTACTTATCCATTTAATAAAAGTTTATTCATGATATTGCAACTTGTGTATTGTTTAATTGCAAATAAATACAACAATATATAGAATACTTGCATCAACATATGCCTAGATACCTGTTCAAGGCTTTCTCATTAGGAGAAAGTCTTGAATAGTCATCGGTTGGGACTGTTCTTGAATGTGTATTCTCGCTTAGGTGGTGAATGTATGTTTTTTTTTCGATTTTAAGGAATATCTTGGCTTACCATTTCCTCATTATGTTCTCTAAGTAGATATGTGGGTAATTAATTATCTACTACGTGTACTTGGAGAAATAGGGGAAATGCAACCGGATTTTCCTTAAAATTGGAAAGTTGACATACATTCACTAGTGAGAGTAGACATTCAAGGATGGGTTAGGTTGGAGTGATAAGCACCCTTTGGAAACATGCATTTTTTTCACTATATGAATGTTATATTCACGTTTTGTACTTGAATTTGATTTACATAAAATATGTAGTAATTCCACATTATTCATTATATGTTGCTATATATGGTTAGAGACAATTTACTAAATGGAGAAGGATAATGGTTGGATGTATGGTAGACGTGATACATTGGAATTTTGGAATGGGGTTCAAGAGTTTTGTGAGAGGGCTTTAGCTTATCAACGCAAACTGGGTGACAAAGGCCTTTATTGTCCTTGTGTTGATTGTAATAATGTAAATGTGGTCGATAGTGTTGAAATCATTAGAGATACTCCCTCCATCCCAAAAAGTTCGACCCATTTGGGAGGTTTACGCGGGTATTAAGAAACTTATTTGGAAGTACAAATGCATTGGAAAACATAAGTAGGCAATAATTTGCAATAAATACATAAGAGAGAGAAAATCCTACTCCCAATAAACCTTTGGGTTTTAATCGTTGTCCTATACATGCAGTAATAATGTAGCTAAGCTATGTAATGCTTTATTAACCAATAATATTAGAGTATTGTTTTACAACACCCACTAAAATTATTGTACACAAGATTGCCAAGGTGGCACTTTTAAAAGGAAGGGAATACAAATCAGATTTCCCTCCTTTTACTGTATAAAAGAAAATTTTTGTTTCATCTAAAAATATTTTCACACTCACTAAACACTCTAAAAAAATCTGCTTTTAAATTACTCCACTTTCATCATTGCCTGCTTCATTATGGCTTCAGATTTTGATTTGAATGTTTCTATTAAAAATGTTGATGATGAACATGTAAGTCATGGAGGGGACTATTTTGCGTATGGAATAGATCTCAACCAAATTCCAATAACCGTAGGAATGCACACATCTGACCAAGAACCAACATTTCATAATGGTCAAGCTTACATGGACAGTCAAGCAACACATAATCAACAGCAACAGCAAACTAATGGTCATCACAAGCGCATGCTCAGAAGTGGGGACAAGCATACTATACTTGTATGGCTTCTAAACAGAGCAACTAATGGCAAATTAAAAAGGGGAGCAATCACAGCTGTCGCACATCATTTCAACATAACCAGGAAATACATAGGCCTCATATGGAACAAGAGAAATATGCAAGAGGGAGGTGATCAAGTGTACAATGTGACCACAAAATTACATCATTGTGGGAGGAAAAGAATCCAGATATCACCTGAACAAATTCAGAGCATTCCAATGGGAAATAGTTCTTGTCAAAGGGATTTGGCAACTCTACTCAATGTATCAAAAAGCACTGTGCAAAGGCTTGTGAGGAGGGGAGACATACGGCCCCATACAAATGCTCTAAAACCAAGTCTCAAACCAGCAAATAAAAAGGAAAGATTAAGGTGGATTTTAAGTCACCTCATTGGTAACACACCAGGCACTAAAAAAGAGTATCTACCACAGTACAACACAGTCATGATTGATGAGAAATGGTTTGAAATGACAAAGAAATCTAAAACGGCCTACTTGGCAAGAGGAGAGAAGGGGCATTAGAGGTATGCTCATTGAAACAAACACATCCCAAAGGTTATGTTCAGTGCAGCAGTTGCAAAGCCATGGTACAATGCCCAAAAAGAATGCATTTTTTTATGGTAAACTGGGAATATTCCCATTCACATATGAAGCACCTGCTTTAAGAAGTTCAAAGTACAGAAATAAGGGAGAAATGGTGACAAAGGTGGTGGAGAGAATCACAAGAGATGTTTCAAGGAAGATGCTCATTGAGAATATTGTACCAGCAATTATGGAAAAATGGCCAAATACAAGACAACACAATACAATTTACATCCAACAAGACAATGCAAAACCCCATGTGCTTCATGATGACCCAGAGTGGCAACTACATTGTAAGCAGCCAGGATTTAGTTTTATTCTCATTCAACAACCACCAAACAGTCCAGACTTAAACATTTTGGACTTGGGTTTTTTCAGGAGCATTCAGTCACTACAACACAAGAAATTTGCAAGAAACCCAGAGCAACTTATTAAGGTTGTCAAAGAAGCATTCTATGAGCTGCATGCAAAGACATTGTTCAAGTGTTGGGTCACTCTTAATAATGTTATGAATCAGATTTTAAAGGCTAAAGGTTCAAACAAATATGAACCTCCACATGTAAACAAAGCCAAGTTAGACAGAGAAGGGAGACTACAGGATCCAATTGAAGCACCTCTTTGGGCTGTCATAGATGCATGGGAAAGGGTTCATGGGGACAGAGACTTCTCGGATGATGAACAGGAACAAGAAAATATTCAAACCACACAAAACAATGCATCACAACCATAGGCGGATCTATGAAGGGGCCTGGGTGGCACCAGGCCCCCCAAATTTTTTAATTTTTTTTTATTTAAGTAAATATATAAATTTATAGGTTAAATACAATTTTTATGCAGTAAATAACATCAAATTAGATTCATAGTGGTAATGCATTGAGTTTGGACTAAAAGTCTTAGGTTCAAGCCCTTATACAAGCATTTTATTTAATTTTTTTATTTAGTGCCCCTCCACACTAAATATTCTACATCCGCCACTGAATTCACAACAACCATTTGTCATGGAAAATGACCATGAGGCTTCCACATCTAATTCCAATGCTATGAATAGCCAACAACAATGATTTAGAGTACATAAAACTTTGGATTTATTTTGATTTTTAAGTTTTTTTTAATTTCAAATATGTAATGGGTTAGGGGGGGACTGTAGTCAGTTGGTATCTTCTGTTTGTTAGTGAATGGTGAAGGTTCAAAATCTATGTATGACTTCCAAATATCAAATATGAAATGAAAAAGAAAGTCATTTTGTTTTTGAAAAAATGAACTCAGATGTCCCCAAGCTTCATTGAACAGCCTAGAAAACTTCAAGAATAATTTCCAAAGTCAGCAAAGTCAGTAAGTCAAGCAAAATTAACTTACTGACTAGGGACAACAGAAATCTTGAGAATTTCATATTGGCTACATATCTCAGCTTTAATGGACTCATCACAGTTGAAAAAAAAAACAACTAACAAGGCAATAACCACTCCACAAAAGCAGCAACATTATCCATGCCATAAAGTTAAGTCATAGTAATGCATTCAATTCCAAAAGCCAAACACAACCACATATACTTTACTGAATCCAAATTCAAAATGCCATAATTAAAATCCAAATCAGCATACTACTAGTCACTGCAAATCATTGTTCCAAAGTCAAACCATAAATAACCAATTCTTACAAACAAGGCAACGTATAACTTAGCTCTGAGATTCTTTATCAGAATCTTTATTAGGGGACTTGATTTTTTTGGTTTTAGAGCAATCACCACCAGCATCACCATTGGACTTCACTTTGTTAGGTGCAGGGTTGCCACCAACAGCATCATTAGAGTCAGAGTCAGAGGGACAGTAAGGACCAGATCCTTTTGGCCAATACCATTTATCTAAGGGAGTTTGGCCATATGGAACAATCCCAAACCTGTACAATTTTGTCTCATTGTTGTAGCTATGCTCACCTTCACAGCCACTACCTAATTCACAATCCCTGTCACTGCACTGGTATGTCTCAGATGTGTAATGAGACCTTGAGTCAGCAAATAATCTATCACATAATGAATCAGTTTTCATCTCCAAAGGAATAGGAACTCTGGCAGGAGATTTTGGTGGTTGATCAACCTCCTCCCCACTAAATTTGGCAGATTTGTCAACCTTAGCATCAAAAATTTCTTTCTGTTTTTTGTACATTTCATAGTTGTGAGTTTTATGAGAGTGTGATTCAGATGTGTCTTGGGACAAAGTCATGATGACCACAAGACCTGAAAGACATAGGTTTACACAAACAATTGTAAACATTGATGAACACACATTGTAAATTGGTTTTTTAGGGCATGAACAAGGGATAGAGGGATAGTAAGGGGTATAACAATTTGACAGGACATACTATCATGCACTTGTATATTTCAGTGTATATAAGAGATTCAAGCAGTTCAAGGAATGTTATGCTTCAACCCTTCATTTCTGTTTCTACCATGAAACATTCAAACAAGAGGCTTCAAGACACAAACATTACTGAAACTAGGCAATCAAACCATGTGAATAATTAATCAAACATCAACATGAATTAAGCAAACTTACTCAAATAATTACATGATAAAATCACCCAAATGAATCAAAACCCATATAATTAAGCATCCATAATAATCAGATTAAAACAGGAATATTAAAACCCATATTAATCACCCAAATACAGAAATTAATCACCAATATTTATCTCTATACATATGACAGGAAGAAATCACCCAAAGTAATCATAACATAACAGGAATTAATTACCCTGATTCATCAGACCGTAAAAAGAATTACCCCAACATAATCAAACCCTAACATAAGTTAATCACCCAAAGTAATCAAACCCTAACATGATTTAATCACCCAAATTAACATGTCAATCCCTAACATGAGTTAATCACTTCAAAATATAATTCATATTACTCGTTGTAGGGAGTAAATTTCAAGCTTTAATCCCATTAGCTTAAACCCCACTGTGATCATACACAAAAGTACGGTGGCGTCCAAAAGGGAAGAAAATAGAGAAAAAGAGTCGCCAACAAGTTTTTTTAGGAACTTGTAAACCGTTCATAGGATGAAAGTTACACCCCTTAACGATCCAAGAGATTGTAAACTCCATAAGTTCTAGAACCAAATAAGGGTTCGGGGATGAAGGTACAAATCCAACCTAAAAGAGATTGAACCTTCCCTAATAATAGGCCTTTACTTTATTCTGATCATATTCATGTGCGCTTTCTGACTAACATGCAATCATTAGAATTAACCCTAAACCTGTTTATCTATGTTGGTTGAATTAAATGCAAAAAAAAACTATTATTGGCGATCACTTGAATTATAATCACATTAAACCTAACAAGATTATTAACTATCTTATTAAGCGTGATGACAAGTACAAATTCCCTTTAAACAAGCATAAAAGGCGTGATCAAGCAATAACAATAAATATCAAGCAACAATAATAATCATGATAAAAATAATAATAATAATAATAATAATAATAATAATAATAATAATAATAATAACAACAAATATCATAATCATAGCAATCATAATTAATAATAATTATAATAATCATAATTATAATAATATTCATGTTAAAGCATAATAAAAGTAAGATCCTAGGCATGATACTAACAAGATTAATAACAAACCTTAGCATGTCACTAAGCAATAAAAATCAAATCTTTAACCCTAACATGATACTAACAATCATAAATATTAGGAAGAACATAGGAAGCATCGTAACAATCATATTTAATATTAAAATTACCCTAGACATGATACTAAGAATATCATAATAAAAATGTAAACATGATTTCTAAATCATAATATCAATAAATCAATTAAAGTACTTACTTTGATGCCTCGTACCTCTTTCTAATAACAAAATACACACGTTAGTAACTTCAAGGAAAATAATAAACAAAAATCAAATTAAATTAAATAATTGAAATAGATATTTGGGACCAAACCCTCAGAAATTAAAACCTTTCACGTCTAGGGCGAAGGAAACTTCGAACTTGGCTAGGTGTGTCTAGATCTAATGAATGCGGAATTTTGTATGTGAAAAACCAAATTTAGAAAAAGATGAATGAGAGAGATGAATGATTTAGAGAATGCTAAGAAAAACTTGTGAATTGGTGAATGATAGATGTAGATGATGAATGAAAACGGAGTTTTTAATACGATATTTATAGAGAAAATTAACCAAAAAGATAAAATAAACAAAACAGAGTCTGACGCACAAAAAACAAGGCTGGTGCCACCCTTGGCTAACTGGCGTCAGGCACCAAGGCCAACGCCAGGCGCCAATGGCTAGCGCCAAGGCCTGGGGTTAGGCGCCAAGCCTGATTTTGATGCGTTTTCGAAAATCAAATAAATTTACCGTGCTGGGGGATAAAATCATATAATTTCCTCGAAAATGCTATTTGATTTTAATTAAAACTCTGAAAAGTCAAAAGTCAATTTATCAATGCTAATTGAATTAGGAATGAAAAGATCCTTCTAGAAGATTCTAGAAGACTAAAACCATTCCTAATTGAATTAGGAATGATAAATCATATTAGGCCCTCCCCTAGATCATTGGGCCGCATATAAAGTTCAAACCGGGCCCAGTTTAATAAATTGGCCATAATTTCCTCAATATTCATCGGAATTGGGCTTATAATATATCGTTGGAAAGCTCTTGTCAAGCCCCATCCAACTACACTATTATCGGACCCATATCATGGACCAACCAAACTGGATTGGCTGTTTTCTTAAAATAAGTTTTCAAAAACAGAGAGAAGAGAAAAGAATTAAAACTATCCGCAACGCTAAACTTTCCACACTTTCACTTCATTCGATTATGATTTGACGCGAAAGGTACTCATCACCGGGTTCGGTTTTGGGGAGACACAAATGGGTGTCTACAGAAGCCCCCACTTTGACTGAGTTTGGAGAAATGCAAGTTTCGAAAATAAAAGTCAAAGTATCGATAGGGACGGAGAATGATTCAAAACGTTCTGCGATCCTAAACCAATCTTATAACGCCGATACCTGCAAACTAACGTTAGTTAAACAGATAAAAGTGTTAAGAAACGCGTATCTTGCACCGTCGAGCACACGTCTCTGAAAGTAAACGATTTGCTGCCGCTTTACTGTTGTTTTGATGACCTTCTGCAAGCTAGAGAATGTCATCCCGCTTAAAAACCGCTACGCCTGTAACTGCTTCCAAATTGGAAGATTGCTTCGCCTGAAACGATCCTCCTCCGTTATGATAGTATTCCACGTCCAAGGGAATACCATCGAAGATTGCTTCTGTTGAAACAAATCCTCATCTTCATTGATAATATTCCACGTCCAAGGGAATACTATCGAATATGACTTCGCCCGAAATTACCTCCAGTTGTTCGTGACAACTCTCCGCAATCTAGGGAATGTTATCGAAGATATCTTCTCTTGAACTCATCCTCATTCGATGCGATAATTTACTAAAGGAAATTACCGAAGATCCACGCCTGTCGATCTTTAAAAGTTCGTCCGAACTTTGCTTCCGCTATGCCTGTACGTCGGCGCTTCTGTTGTTTTGAACCTGTATGTCGGCGTTCTTTTGCTTTTGAACCAATGCTTAGGCGTTTTAAGCTAAGTGAGACGATCTCTTACCAGGTCGATTACTTCATGTAATCAAGCCGATTACTAAATCATGTCAAATTGCTTAGAGGGGCTAACTGGCGTACCAAGGAACCGAAAAATATGTTGCAGA